TGAGTCACCAAGACATAAACATAAAGCCTCAGAAGGCACATAGTGCCTGAGGGTGGAGGGGTAGCCCATACATACATAGCTCCAGGCAGCTCCAGCCCAGCAACTCTGCATGGAGCCCTCAGGGAACATCAGCAAAGGTTTTGTCCACCTCTGGTGAAGGAAATAGTTGCAATGACAGGGCAGCAGCTGCCATGGCAAGCACTATCTAGCCTTCCTCAGCATCACTCCGGGGATAACACCCCCGCAGGGGTGCTGTCTCTCTCCTCATTTCACAACTAAGCAATCCAAAGCTCAGTCAAGTTAAGGGAAACCCCCTAGAAATGAGTGTACTGTACAAAATCTAACCTGCGGGCGGAGGTGGGGATGTGGGGGCACACGCCGGCCAGAATTCGGCTTCCTGGGCTCTCCTCTGTCTTGAGTCTCAGATGTGGGCACCCCACTGCTGCCTCAGAGATGACCCTCTGGGGGAGCCAGTGTGAGCCCCTCCCTACATCAGGAGGGGACTCTTTACCTCTTGCAGTGGGTAATGAGGAGGAGGACACTTTCACCAGGAGAGTATGTTTGCATTTCGGGCACTGACTTGCTCTATATTAAAGCAGGTCTGACAGGTTGGTTCAAAAGGGCTGCTTGGGCCTGCATGCTTAACTAGTGAGGCCCCTGGAGGGCCAGGATGCCTTGTCCACAGACCCTGCCTTCTTTTTAAGGTCGGGGAAGGGACTCCTCCCCTATGGTTTCACAACCCTCCACATTTAATTCACCGAGGGCAGCTGTGAGGGTGCCTGAGAGAGAAATTGGCTCAACCACTATCTAACTCTATGCAGATCAGATCCAGCCTCAACTTAGCAAAGGGGCGTTTGGGGATCTTGGTACATGTGGTGATCATGGGGAAGCATCCCAGCAAGACATTGTCCAGGTTAACCTTTCACCAGTAAGAGAAACCTGGGAGGTCCAGCAGCATTCCTGTCCCAAAGCCATCTTCCCAAAGCTTTCCTGGAGCTTTGTGTCCAGGGAAGGATGCTGGGAAAAACCAATCCCCAAACCCACCTTCCTATGGCCTAATAGAATCTTCCAGAGCCCATCCCCTAGATTCCTCCACCAGAAAGCCCTCCTAGATTTCTTCACTCTCTCCACCTGACCTCACCACCACAGATAAGCTAAGAGGCAAGATGGAGTTGTGGTCACACATACAAGGTGGCATCCAGTTCTGCTGCTAATGACCTGTGTGACACTGAGCAAGCCACCACTCCTCTCTAAGCCTAACCTCTGCAATTGTAGATGAAACAACGTATTTGGTTGTCCAATCTCCCAATCTCCCAAATGAGAGATCCCAATTCAAGATTGGCTAAGTGTTGCTCTCAATTCCTCCCTCTCCCTCCACCCTCTGCTCCTCCAAATCCTGTATCTCTCTTCTTCTTGGCTGACACTCTGCCTCTCTGACTCTTTTGAGACCATCCCCACGCAGCTGACTGGAGCATCCCTTAGAAACAAATATGAGATGGTGACATTTTCCGCTAATCCTCAAAAGGCATTAGGCCACACAAAGATCAAATCGACATGGTCAGGAAGGTGTCTTCGATGCCTCAGCTGTCCTCCATCGCCCAGCCCTCTGAGACATAGAGCTACTCCAAACCCCTGCTCCTGATCACATCACGCTTATTCTTGTCTCAGGACTCCTGCACTTGCAGTTCTTACTACCTGGGACACTCCCCTTGTTGTCTCCACAACTAGCCTGGGTCTGTATTTGGGTCTGTAGACTCTCCGGGCCCCTCAGCTGAAGTGGTGTCCCTTCACCCACACCCAAAGCCAAGCACCGTTCTCACCCTCCTTTATTCTCTCTGCTCTTTCAGAATGTGTTCATTCACATGTTCATCCTCTCTCGCACTGTTCCATGACCCTCGTGAAGTGGGACTCTATCTGTCCTGTTCCTGGCTGTGTCCCCAAGGCAGCCTTATTTGATGGAGTCTGGCCCAATTGGTGCCCCAGGAGGGTTTGTGCTGGCAAAGGAGTTCATCAGTAAAAGCTGTCATTTACCATCTGTGCGCTGTGCAGTGTTCCATATCCCCACCACACAGGTCACCTTGTTCTCCCAGACCAGGGCTGGCAGTGAGTGTGCCTTTCACTGATGCCACACCAGCCTGGGCTGACTGCATCTGTTAGGCTGGACCTCTGACTTGGGTCTCAGGTTCACAGCCACTCCCTTCACTGTCCCTGCTCTAAGCAGGGAAACAGGCAAAGAAGACTGAACCAAGAAAATGTTCCTGGTGCAGGAACAGCTGGTAACCCCTTTTCCAGGCAAGAGTCAGTCCTTGGTTGGAGCAGAGACAGAGGTGTTTGAAGGGCAAGGCCCTGTTGGCCAGGCCGATGGCTCAGGAGCACTCAGCAGTTAGGGGGCCAAAGGCAAGAATTCAACATCCATGAGTCTGGGAGCTGCTGCCCCGGATGTCTGTCCTGCATCTCTCATGTAGCAATCCAGAGGATACTTGGGCAGCCAAGACCCCCAGGGTTATTAGCTCTGCAGTCGGCCCTCTTTGCTGGGTGACCTCAGCCAACCCCTCGTCAACCTGGAGCTTTGGTTTCCAAAGAATGAAGCACTGAACTCACATCTCAGGTTATAGTGAGTGCTGCATGAGGTGATGTCTGCAAAGTCCACATCCGGCGCCTGGCGCTTGGCAGGCACTTGGGGACATGGAGAAGTTTCCTGTTGTCACTGCAGCTTTCTGTCCAGTGTGTGGCCCCAGGCTTGGGCTAGCCGGGCTCTGGACTCTTTTGTGCCCACTGGGTGACTCAGATCTGGGAGTGGAGCGGATGGAGGGTTTACCTCAGACATATTTGGGAGCATTTAAGAGCTGTGTTCCAGGCTGAAGGAACAAGGAAACAGATATGTCTGGCAGGGGCATGGTGACCCAGAGGCAGTGTGCCATCAGGCCCGACGGCCAACCAGCAGCTCAGGCTACTGCCAATACCAGGGGAGGTTCCAGGCTGGATACCCAGGTCCTGGCACCGTTCTGGGAATGTCCTCACTCCCTTGCTCATCTCTCTCACCTGGTGTCAGTCCATTCTTTGACCATCTCCATGCCCTCAAGGCTTTCTCTCTGCTCGCTTTTTGTCTTTCCCTGGTCATCATCATGTTACTCGTCACCTCTTCTTGGCTTTTGATGAGCCATCCTTTGCCTCTTCTATCCTGCCATGTCTAATCTTCTGAGGGCTGAGAAAGCTGAAGGTTTAGAACTGTTTCTAAAGTAAGGATAAGGAAGCTACACATGGGGGCCAAAGATTCCAGACTGACGTCCCTGAGCAAAGGTGCAGGATGACGAAGAGAGTTTTCATTTTAATTGCTTTTCACTCACTACAGGTCGCAGGGCTTTGAGGAGAGTTCCTCACCCAACCAGCCTGCACCACCACCCTGCCAGCTTACTGGCACTATCTCCATCCGATTCAATTGCCTTGCCCCACTGTACGCAAGCCTTTCCTAGGAATTCCCTGGGCGGGACTATGACCCTCCCAGACGTGTCCCTAAACCTTTGCACTCATTGTCCCTTTTTTGGAATGACTGTTGGCCTCTTCCTCTGAAAAGGTGCCGCTGCCCAGCAGTGGTTCACAGCACCCTCCCCCACCCCAGTACTCTTCACTTTCCATCATGAAGTAGCACCTCCTGTTTACATCTCTCTGGGCTGACGCCCTTCTGTTACCATTAGCTTCCTGGCAGTGTTCTGGATAGTGACCATTCTAGCAGTCCATCTGGCCTGCATCTCCTGCCTCCCATCCCTGTTTCCCCCTCTTCAGTGAGGCCCCAGCAGGGCTGACTTCCTAGCCTTATCACGTCACTGGGCCTTGACTGACCCATCTGTAGAGTGGGGGGGTAATGGTAAGCCCAAAAGGGATGAGCTGTACATAGAACTCTGAGGGCTCTGTAAAGAAAAGGCACTATTTTATTGTGATTACAAAAGAGTACAGGGAAAAGAAAAAGATGACCAAACCAGATTTTTTTCTGTTATAACAATTGTTTTATATAAAGTATTACAGATATGTATTTCTCTCTCACGTGCAGGCACCTTCATGGGGTCCTGGGCAAGGGTAGGATGAAGACTGAGCAGTGCTGGTCAGAGAGGCAACCCCTGTCTTATCACCTCGCTTCCTAACACTCACTCAGGCAGGGCTGCATCATGGTGAGACCAGCTCTGTGCAGACACCAGCTCTGAGGAGACTTGGCTCTGTGTAAGGTGGGGCATGCTAGCTAGGCTCTGCTGGGACAGCATCTTTAGCGCCATTTCCTTGTCCATTTGCCCACTCTGCCAAGGCAGGTTGGGGATAAGAGCGGACACGTTGATCGGTAAAGGTTGAGGTTCACAGGTGAATCACTGTCAGGACATCCAGGGATGGGCTTGGATCCAGAAATGTATCTCAGAACATGGCTCTCCACAGGGAGGCACTGAGGAAGCCGGGGCAGATGAGGATTCCGTGTCACCCGGGCTTAGGCAGAGGAATGGGGTCAGCTCATCTGCATGGCCAAGCTCAAGGAGAATAAATAAATAAATACTGTATAATTGTGCAGTCCTCCAGCCTAGCTCGCTGCCCAAGGAAGGGACCTGCCACTGTCAATCTCAGTTCCTCTGATCGCCATCTTCCTTGAGGCAGAGGCTGACTGGAGAAAGGGGGCCTGCCCCGTCTGTGGACTGAGGAATCTGGGCTGAGAAGTCTATACAGTACAAGTGGCTGGGGAAGCTGGGGAAGAGGGGCCTGGGCCCAGCCCGCATGTTGAGACAAGGTCCTGCCCGTCTCCCTTTCCTCCGAGACCTGGCTCGCCACAATGAAGTCACACGGCGGTAGAGGGTGCTGACCTCCCAGTGCTGAAAGAAGTCCCTTCCCCACCTGTTGGCTCTTTTGGTCCAGCTGCCAGATGCATGAGGCACCATGAGGACTGGAGGAGGTATAACGGGAGCCCAAGACCAGCCAGGCCGGTGTCCCATCCTAGGTGTGGCTGGGTGTGGTGCCCGGCTGGGTCAGAGCTGGAAGGGGTACTGTCGGAGGTAGTCAGCCATGCGCCGGGGCAGTGGCAGAGAGTCCACATCAGCTACCAGCCGGTTGATGACGAGGCGGCACAGGTGCTGCAGGCTGCGGGCACTGCTTCTGCGCACAAAGGGCTGCACCAGTTTCAGGTGCACAGCAGTGGCCGTGGGGCCGGGCAGCACTGGGTTGCTGCTGGGCATGTCTTCCTTGGGTGCAGGCAGGGCTGGGGCAGGGGTGGGGTCGGGGTTGTCGCATCGTGTGTCTCCTGAGCAGGAGGCCACATAGTGCTGCACAAGGCTGACTACGTCTGGGAAGGCCAGGATGCGAGGCCTGGACAGGCAGTTGGAGTCCAGGCGGAAGCTGGAGTCGGCATATTCAATGCGTACGTTGGTGGGACCACGGGTAGTCTTGACGGACAATGTGAACAGGTAGCTGGGGTGAGTGCTGTCTCGTACCAGGAAGGTGCCCTCTGGCATCTTCTGCAGGTGTTGCCGGGCCTCACTAGCCGTAATGGAACCCCAATACCAGCCTAGATAAGTAGAGAGGGAGGCCAAGGGATTGGTCTTAGTAGAAATAGGCTGGGAATACAGCAGGGCCATGCCTCCCCACCACCTCTGTTAGAAGAGCTATCCAACTCCCATCAGACACTGCCAGGCTTCCCAATACAGACTTGTCAGAGTAGAACCAAGCCTTCCCATGCGACTCCCTAGCACAAGGCCAGCCTTGTCCCTCACTCACCAGATTCTCGAAGGTAGGAGAAGGTCTTGGCAATGCACAACAGATCTTCTTCTGGGTCCAGCACCTTGGGCTGCTCACTCTCTGGCTTGGCTGGGGTCTCCTCTGCTACCTCCTCCAGAAAGACCCCGGAAGGTAAGGGCTGCATGTCTGCCTCAGGCAGCTCCAGGGAACGGGCCCTCAGGGGCTGCTGCTCCTCAACCAACAAAGAACCAGGTCTGGAAGAGGGAGGGTGGGCGGTGAGTGAGGCTCTGTGCTCCTATTTCCAGGAAGCGCAAGACCTCAGACTTGCTGCATGACTTCTGGCCAGCCTTTTTCTCTATGAGCCTCAGTTTCCCCTCTGCCCACCCCTGAGCTCAATGATTCCAGCACTGCACTTTGTCACCACAAGAAATTCCTATATCCTTACTCTCTTTTGAAAGATTCTTTCTCCCAGCTGCATTTATGAAATAGTTTTTAATCTCTTTCTTCGTTATCAGCCAAAAACATAAGTCATTCCCTAAAGGCATTTCTAGTTCTGGGTGGCTTGTCAGTGTCCCTAATACAGTGATGTGATCTAGTGCATGGAAATCTCACATTTGTGTCCCCAGTTGAGGTGGGCCAATTAAGTAGCACTAGTGTTGGTTGATGATGGGGGCAGGCCAGTATGAGGTCTTATAGAGAAACCCCAAGAGTGCTGAGATCACAAACTACCACCCCCGTAGACAGGAGTGTCTGGTGGAGGGGTCTGTACCCACTCTGACCTCTGAGTGGCATCTGGAACAATCTAGAACCCCCACGGATCAGACTTATACCCTGCCTTCTGTTTTTCATAGTCCAGAGCTTTGAAGTAAATCCTAGCATAAAAAAAAATTCACTAACTATTCTGACTTCCTCCTAAATATGAGCTCCCACTGAAGACTAAGGCATTTATCCAAGTTCTAGATCCTCTCCTGGCAAGCTAGTTCTGCCACACCAAGTCTTATAATCTTATGCAAACCCTGCACTAGGTCTTAACCTTCACACTCCATCATGAGGGGTTTGGCAACATCATATTCTTGGATAGCCCTGTCTGAGCAGTAGTGTCCCTCTAGAAGACTACCCAGCAGGATAACCTGGAGCTTCCTCCCTGGGAGCACAGGAGGCAAGAGCTGGTGGCTCCTGTTTCTCAGTGAAGTAACTACTATTCCCCCCTGTTTCTTACAACATGCATTCCTAGGACTCAGATACTGAAACCATGTGCTTTCTTCCTTCAAAGAAAACCAGGTCACTGGGGAAGCTGGAACTGACTGAGAGGCTTCATAATGCAAGACCATAAAAGCACAAGGTATCCTGGGAGCCTCAGCGTCTCTTGAGCTGAATCTGCCAGGCCAAAGGAAGGAAGAGAGGGGAGGGTTGTCCAGTTAAAGAAGACATAATGGGCAAAGCCCAAGAGGCAGGACATAAGGCCAGGTATGACCTGTGAGGCAGGGAGAGGTGGCAGGAGATTCAGATATCAGCCCTGACAATGCAGGTTACGGGTAACCCATAGAGGGTTCCAATATAAAACAGCGCCCCATGCCATTCACAGGAAGGGCCCACATAGCCTTGGCACACCACTGACTGCCCAGTATTTTTCCACACCCACCCTGCCTGTACTGTAGGAGCTCTGGAATCCTGCTTGGGGAGCTGGAGGCTGAGTTCCAAGGAAGTGGCTGGTGGCTTGCCCGCTGGGGCCCAGAGTTCGGCCTGGGCCCAGGCGCCTTCCAGGAGCATGAGAGGCGTCTGGCTGGCCAGGTCAGAGCCAGTGGGTGTGGTCATGCTCTGATAGTTTAGCAAGGGCTCTGCATTAGGTCCTGTACACGGGCAGTGGCATCTCTCGGACCAGCATGGTGTTGGTGGTTGTGAATGACTGTGTTGGTCCTCCCAAGCTTCCACAAATGACTCTGGGTGGGGGTGTGTCCACAGCTGTGTCATCTCCACAGTGGGGGTGGAGCCTTGTGTGTGTCTGGCGTGGGTGTACTATGCGTGTGTGTGCCTGCTTGTGAGTCCTGTCTAGACACAAACTGTGAGGGAGAACTCTGTCCTGGGGGACCCCCCCAAGCAAAACTGACAGCCCAGATCTGTAACTGAGAATCTCTGTCTACCACTCCAGGAGGGTACCAGCTAGACTATGATCTCTGTGTGGGGTGGATGTGTGACAGGACATTGTCTGTTAAAAACTTGGCTCTTATCCAAGTTCTAGATCTCACCCTACAGATAACATTAGCCCCAAGGTTCCCATGGAGACCTCAGACCAAAGTGGGCTTCCAGAATGGTAGGGAGGGTTCCCTTGAAGTGGAAGGGTGTGATGGGTGGTCAGGAATACCAAAAGTTAGAGAAGAGGGAGGAGGGTATTAAAGTACTAGACAAAGTCAGGAGAAGTTGTCTTCTAAGACTCAAAGTGGCACAGTTTGCATGTGGCTGCTGACCTAAAAACTAGGGATGCCAATCCACCCAGTAACACTGAAGAAGCAAAGACCTGTCGATCCACTTCCATTAAGATCATAGCCAATAAAAGCTATGGAGCAATACTACCCTGTAATGCATGGGTTTGCCACAAATCAGAACCGATTCAATCACAACATATAATAAGTCGTCTAAGCATCTCCAAGTTCTCCCTCCCTGGACTATACTAGCAAGGACAGAGCAAGGGGCATTTAACTCAGCCTCATGCCACCTCCCACTCACTTGGCCTAACGCCAGTCATGATAACAGTACAAGGCCATTCAGCTCTCTCTGGGAGTGTGGCACTTACTCACATCGCCTCCTTCTCCACCTGGAGCCATCAGAGCCTCTGGGTTGTCGACTCAGTATAAACAGCAAGGGCCCTCGAGGTTAAGGGGATGCTAAGGCCAAGACTGTCTTGTTAACGCCCTAGCCCTGGGTCTTAGGAAAACTTGGTGAAGGGGGCAGGAGCCAAGGACTTGAAGGAGAGTGTGAGATGATAGTAGGAGTACGCCAGGTGGAACAGGCTAATCCCAAACTCTGGACCCAAGAAGCGCTGGTCAGCAGGTGCCAGTCTCGGGGAGAAGAAAGCAAGGGCTGAAATGCTAGCCTAAAACAGTAAATCCGGACAGAGGTGGGCAGGAGTGAGCCCAAGGTCATCAAGAAACAAGGTGGTGTCAAGAGTCCGGGAAAGAGACATTGCCTGCTCCAAAAGGAATCCGGGCTGGTGAGCCATGTCTTGGTTGCGGAGGCCTTATGTTCCCACCAGCAGCCCTCAGTTTTTCCACGCAAAGTTAATAGAGGTCAAGGGGGAGGCGTGGTATAGAACAGGCTCACAATGTCCCCTTCTCCGGAGGGCCTCCCCGCTTGACTATCCCGGATCCAATAAACCCTCCCAACTCCCAAGCTGCGAGCACCAAGCCCATGATCCCGGGGCGTCCAGCGCAGAGGCTGGGCGGGGGTCAGAGAGCCGCATTTACCCCTGAACGCAGAGGACCATGTCCTGGAGGCGACAGCGGGCGGCAGCTCCGGAGTAGGGACTCGGCAGGCCCGGGAGGCGGTGGCAAGTGGGTGCCTGTGGGCGCGAAATGCGCGTTAGGACGGTCTGCAGAGGAGCAGGGAAACCAGCACCGACTGAGAGGTGGCGACGCGGGCGGCCGGGGAGAACACAGGGGGCGGGCCCGGCGGCCGGGGCGGGGCGAGCCACCCCCTAATCTTTTGTCCACCACGTCCCAGCCCTTCCCGGAAGCCGCGTCTTCTTAGAACCACTGGCGGGGCCCGTCCGGGAGGGGAGAGAGGTGGAGGGGAGACTTGGGGGGCGGAGCGAGCGAGTCTCCACTTAATCTTTTGTCCACCGCGTCCCAGCCCTTCCCGGAAGTCTCATCTTCCCAGAACAGGAGTCTGTGCAGGGAGACACCGCAGATACGTGGGGACTCGCACCGCATTGGGGTCTAGCGGCGGCAAAAGGAAATACCTTTGACAGATTTCCAAGAACTTTCCAGGAAAATGGGGCGTGGTCCTGCGTACTGGCCAATCGCAGCGCAGAGGGAGGAGTCGAGGGGGGAAGGGGGCCAATGACAACGCGCTGACGCTATGTCACGGCGACGCAAGGGGCGGGGCTGAGAGGCGTTCATGGAAAGATGAGAGTGGATTTTTAGGGGACGAAGATATTAGGAAGGGGCTGGGGGCCTCTCCACCGACGCTGCTGAAACTTTCCGGGGGCTCTTTGGGGACTGACTCTTTTTTCTCACGAATCGAGGGGCATCGGGACCTGCCCCCTAAGCAAGCCGCTCCTCAAGACTTCTGTCGGAGTATGCGAGCGCCGCTTTGTGGGCTTCCTCTAGCGCTGGGGACTTTGCAAGGTGGGGGGGTGCAGTGGGGTTTGGAGAGGGACAAGAAGTGGGAGGACGGTGCAGAGGAGGCCCCAGAACCAAGCAAGCTCCCACTGGGGGATAGATGGGAGAGAAGAAGGAATGTCGAGACCACAGCCACCACAGTCCAAAGGAGCAGGCATGAACATTTTATTTAAAGGGTAGGGGAAAGGGTACATCCCAACTTGTTCTGTGGGAACCAGCCAACCAGTTACCATCTTCTCCAGCTCATGGCATCCTCATTTCTGTCACTGTAGAACTGTGCTTCACAAGGTTTTCAATGGCAGAATTTTAAAAAGTAGATTGCCAGCCCTTTCTTCTAAGATTCCTCTGGGTGGATCAAAGCACCAACCTTTTGGTTAGCAGCCAAGTATATTCATCATTGCACTACCGAGAACTCCAGGCAAGGCTGGCTAATCTTGACCAAGTCTTCTTCCAGGGAAGAAATTACTAATGATTTGGGATGTCACCCCTGAGATAGTCCATTATCTGGGTTAGTGGACCTTCAAAAATTCAGGAACCTCCAAATACATAGAAATAATATGAGTGGGGTGACACCTGCTCCCATATCCAGAGCACTTGGTAGATTTGAACCTCAACAGTTGCCCCTAACCCATTATATAGGAAAGAAGACTGTACCCCAGGAAGCAAAATGCTTTACTAGGAAATGCAGGGCTGGGATGTGATTCATTTTTGAATCAGAGGCTCATATGTTTATCCTTGAGCTTTTTTCACCTCCAAGTTCAATGGATTTGCCAAGAAGCATCTTCAGGAATGGTAGGGGCTGTGCAGACTCTTGGACCAGAAGGCCTTAGGGTAAATCTCGGCAGTGTTCTAGGGTCCACACCATGCCCCTCTTAGTGCCTGCACAGCATGTGTGCATGTGTTGACAGGTTTCCCAGTATCTTAGGCCTGGGTTCTCTGGAAAAGTAAGAAAATATGTATTTGTGTGTGTGTGTGTGTATAGAGTGTGTACATATTTATGTGTGTATATATTTATGTGTGTGTGTATATATATATATATATAAATTCACATAATAAATAGATTTATTTAAAGGAAATTACTCAAATAGAGTCTGACAATTCCCAGGTTTATGGCATATATAACTGGGGAGACTGATTAATCCCAGGTAAGGCAGAAATCAAAGAGGTGATGAACCAGAAGCAAGTTTAAGATAGAGCAAGAAGCAAGCCAGCTCTGCCAGACTTCCTTATATACTCCGCGTAGACCACACTTCTGATGAAACTCCACCTCAACTGATTGGTTGCTTAGAGAGCCATAATCTGCTGCATTGACACAACCTTATTCATCACAGTGCACTCCTTGTCAAATACATACTTTGTATACATCTCTTTAAACTATAGTCTTCAATACAGTTATAAAACAAAACTTCTCCTTAACATGATAACATGCTTACAACTAGGACTGCCTCAGCACCATTTCTATCTTATAAGTTAAGAGCACGGCAATGTTTTATGCACGTATGCAGGAAAGAAATGCTCATAATGATTATAGCCCTTGTTGCGGTATTGGCCGAGTGACAATAACTAGTATTTAGAACTACCTTCTTTCACCACCTATTCAGTATTTATTTTGCCCTCAGCAAGCAGGTGGGGTGACCTAACACTTCATTCCTGAAAAATCTGGGCTCTTAAGGGTCATATAAGAATTGGAAAGTCATGAAGGAGGAAGTGGAAGCTGCATTGAAGGTACTGGCAAAAAAAAAAAATAGCCTCAGGAAGTGATGTGTTATCAATTGACTTGTTTCAACTAACAGGTGCAGACCAGGGTGTGCTCGTCAGTATCAGTATCAGTCTATGCCAAGAAGATTGGAGGACAGTTGTCTGGCAAATGGATTGGAAGAGGTGCTTATTTGTTCCCATTATCAAGAAAGGTGATCCAACAGAATGTGGAAACTATCAAACAATATTATTAATAGCACATGCAAGCAAAATACTTCTGAAGATCATTAAAAAACAGCTAGAACAGTACATAGGGAATTGCCAGAAGTTCAAGCAGGATTTAGAAGAGGCCATGGCAGCAGGGATATCATTGCTGATATCAGATAGATCCTAACTGAAAGTAAAGAATACCAAAAGAATGTCTATTTATGCTTTATCAACTATGCAAAGGCATTTGACTGTGTGGATCATGACAAGTTATGGTTAACATTGAGAAAAATAGGGCTCCCAGAACACTTGTGCTCATACAAAACTTATACCTAGACCAGAAGGCTGTTTTGTAAACAGAGCAAGGGAAAAGCGTGGTTTAAAATTAGGAAAGGAGTGCATCTCAGGCTTGTATACTCTCTCCATACCTGTTTAATCTGTATACTGAGCAAATTATTTGTGAAGGTGGACTCTATGAAGACTGATGTGGCATTAATAACCTGTGTTATGCAGATGACACAACTTTGGTTGCAGAAAGTGAAGAGGACTTGAAGTACTTATTGCAGAGGATCAAAAAAATAGAGCCTTCAATATGGGGTGCATCTCAATGTCAAGACAGAGATTTTTACTGCTGGCCCAATAGGCAACATCATGATAGGTGGAGAAAAGATTGAAACTGTCAACAGCTTCATCTTACTTGGATCCACAATTAGTACCCTTGCTACCATTAGTTAGGAAACCAGGAGACATACTGCACTGGGAAAGGCTGCAGTTAGAGAACTCCCCAGACTATTGAGGAGTAATGTGTAAGTTTGAGAACTAAGGTGTATCTGATTCAGTCTTTCACTTGCTATGCATCTGAGAGCTGGACAATGAGTAAGGATGACAAAAGAAAAATTGATGCCTTTGAGTTATGATGTTGAAGAAGAACACCGAACATCCCATGGACTGCCAAAAGAACAAACAAATAGTCTTGGAAAGGGTCTAACCAGAGTGCTCTTAGGAGGCAAGGATGATGAGGCTTCACCTCACATACTTTAGGCATGTTGCTAGGAGGTGCTTTTTCTTGGAAAGGGACATGATGCTCGGAAAGGTGGGAGGTTGGCAAAGGAGAGGAAAACACTCAACCAGGTGGATTGACACAGTGACTGCCACAATGGGTTCTAGTGAGTCAGGAGAGGTGAGGATGGCACAGGATAGGACAGCATTCAGATCTGTTATTCATAGGGTCTCTATGGGTAATACTCGACGGCACTTGACAACAACATGAATTGAGTTGGTGTAGTTTTCCACTGATTGCCATTTTAGGGCATGGTAGGAAAGTGGCATTCTTGACTTCTAGTTCAGAGGAATCAGTCTTATGTCTCTAGAAGAAGCATTCTCCCTTTGGAACTAAGACTTCTAAACTCTCAGAGCATAAGGTAACAGGGACAGGAAACAAATATTTTGTAGTTTAGTAGGGGTAATAACGAGTGGTGCTACTCCTCTTTCCACCCCTTGATTGCTGGACCTGTAAATCCTGGCAATTGGAGTAACAGCTCCACATGTTAAGACACTGGCTTAGAGCATATACAGCTTTCTGAAGAACATTGCATCACCTGTGCAAGGTACTGCCATCTAGCTGGCGCTGTCATCATGTCTTTAGAAGGCCATTCCATTGTTCTGTCAAACCAGCTGCTTCAGGATGCTATAAAATAAGATAAAATAAGTGAATTCATGAGCATGGGCATATTACCTCTCTTCATTTGCTTTGAAGTGAGTCCCTTGATCTGAAGCAATGCTACGTGGGATACCATGAAGGTGGATGAGGGATTATAGATAGACTTGGCAGATGTGTTGTTTATTCAGAATAAGTGTCTATTCCAGTAATAACAAAATACTGCCCTTTCCAGTCTGGAAGCAATACCATGTAATTGACCTGGCACCAAGTTACTCCCAAGGATATCCAGTGTTGGTCTCTGCTGCTAATAGATTGGGTAATCAGCAAAGATTGTAGTCAAGGAGGCCTTCAAGTATGGAAGTTCATGTTGCAGAGCCCATGCAAAACTTCCATCCCTGCCACCTTCCATCTTCATGACCGCTTGTTCATGAGCCCATTAGGCAATGACAGGAGTTGACAAAGGGGCTGATTGATTATCACAGACTGTATCATCCTATCCATTTGATTGTTAAAATCCTCTTCTGTTGAGGTTGCCAGTTGGTGAACACTCATGTAAGACATGAATATCTCCCCTTATTA